TGTTCATCAAAATCGGTCCAGCGAGAGCTGAGATTGAGCGTTCACAGATACAAAAAAATATAGTCATAGAACACTATATATTTTTTTAATTAAAAATTACAGAATCTACAAATTAATAAAAATACCACATTAATTACCAACTTCTCCCTAACTACTCTTTAGTATACCCCCTTAATTAATAACTCCCCTAACTACTCTTTAGCATACCCCCTTAATTACCATCCCCCCTAATTCTCTCTTTAGTATACCCCCTTAATTACATATTTCCTCCTACTTTTAGTATAACCCCTAATACTCTTTATTATTCACCCTTAATTATTAATTACCTTTAGATACTATTTTTCTCTCCTTAATTACTATATTTCACATCCTGAATTACTAATTATTACCCTTAAATTACTGTACCTCACAACTTTAATTACTAATTATTCCTATTTTCTCTCCCTATACTATNTTAATTACTAATTATTCCTATTTTCTCTCCCTATACTATCAATTATTATTATTCTGCTCCCTAAATACATATTACTACTAATTTATTACACCCTTAATACTAAGTATTATTGGTTTATACTAATTACCATTATTCTGCAAAGAAATTATAATAAACAAAAATATACTTTTCTTTTTCAACTTTTTGCGCTCTTTTAGCTTCGATGCGAAGCTGAGAAGGTATTAATTTTACTATGATGTGTTTTTTTATTTTTTTTTTTATTTTTTTTTTTTTATATTTTTTTTTTTGTGTCTGTGAACGCTCAATCTCAGCTCTCGCTGGACCGATTTTGATGAACAATATGTCAAAAGATCACAAATCGTATCTAGTCGAAGACATTACCCTCAAAAATTGAAAAAAATTCCCTCGTTCCCCGTAAACGGGGGAAATCCCCCAAAAAATTACAAATTTAAAAATCGCTAATTTTCGATATTTTTTCAATTTTTTTTACTTAAAATTGCCATAACTTTTTTAAAAATGACCGAATCAATATAATTTTTTTTTTTATAGATACCTTAGATAATTACCTATCATTTTATATATTTTTGTGAACATTTGACCCTTTAACAGCCCAAAGGATGGGGTTTCAAAATGGTAACTTTTTTACAAAAAATTAACTTTTTCAACTTAACTTTTGAAAATGTTCCGGAAAGACTGACAATTTTATATATACCTTAAATTAAAGCTAATGTAATATACTTTAATTTGAAAAAAAAAAATTTGACCTCTGGACTTGTCTTCGTGGTGAAAACGGACATCAAAGTTAAAGAAAAACGTACGATTTCCGTGAAAAAAATCTCGATTTTATATGTTATATTATTTAATTTATATTTTATATAACTTTTGGAAAAATGTATGGATCTATATTATTAATTTTTTATAATAAATATTGATATACCCCTTTCATCTGGCACGCTTTTTTTGTAAATCGGATCATACCCCTTTAACAAGGGGGGTCAAAACTTTAAACATGCGTATTGTTACTACGATATTTTCAATTTAATTTTTGAAAGTATTCCGGAAATACTGACACTTTTAAATATATCTTAAATTAAAGCTTATGTAATATACTTTAATGTGAAAAAAAAAAATTTGACCTCTGGATTTGTCTTCATGGTAAAAATGACTACCGTATGCAAAAATATGCTATTTTTGTGTTAAAATTCTGGGTTTTGTATTTTATTTTATTTTAAAATACCTGACAAGGGGAGTACAGATTTTCATAAATATTATATAAATTAAAATTGATATAGTATAGATAGTTAAACTTATTTAAATATGTTTGTTTCTTTTAAGTCGAGAAAAATAACTTTGAAATTTGAACTAGCTTAAATAGCCAATTTTTCAACCGACGGAAACACTAAAATGTGTATAATCTAAAAATGATCATAAGGGCGCAGTAGAACTAATGAAAACAATAACCTGAAAAATGTATAGTTAGGACAAATATTAGTAATGGGTTTTGATAAAGACTTTATCGTCTTTTTCGTCATTCTTGTAATAAATTGTGACTTGATGGTTTGATAAAAGTTTATTCAAGATTATTCATTGCTGTTATGATAAATTACGAAAATTACCACGAGTTGAAAAACTACAACTAACATTCACTTTATTTTGTGAGTTTTTAACAACAAAATTATATATATTGAATTTTTTATACATAAATAATAAGTAAATCAAAAAATTGTTCAGAATATAATTTGTGTAAAATATTATTTAAACAACTTTTGTTCTTACAATT